TTCCAGGGAATAATTTGGAAAACTATATTTTTAAGTGAGAAAGAATTATATGTTTCTGATTTAAGCTTTCGATTTCCGTTTTTGCCTAGACCAATTGGTAACCGGTTAATTTTGGTATTTCCCAGCCCCTTTAAGTAAAAATAAGCATAGCCCCATGAGCTGAAAGTGATGCGACTCGAGCTGAAATTAGCGGGTGAAATATTCAAGGGAGACGAGTCGACCCACGCTAATACCAGGTGCTTTCTTAATGAGCTAAACTTCGGGTTGCACCTGGTTACGTGTGATTTTGAGCTTTAGGAAATATTTTAGCAAAATAGAGCGAGAACAAAATCGGCCTGAGAGAAAATTCCTTAAAATACAGATTTTATCCTTACATGTATTTTATGTTTCATTTTATTAAAATTGTTGCTGTCCAGGCTCCTTAGATCGTATAAAATCCTCAAAGTATCTTTTATTTTAACGGGAAAGGCAATTCATGATTTCCCTGTATCCATGACCATAGAGTTGCACCTGGCTACGAGTCATTTGGAACATTGTGAAACATACTTACAAAATAGAGCAAGAACAAAATCGGCAGAAAAAAATTCCTTAAAGGCACAATCTGGTCCCACCGTGTCGGTTGCACCCCTGCAACTAGACACGGGATAGCAAAGCAGGGTTACGGTAGGTGCTCGCCGCCGAGCAAAACCGAACCCTGGCCGTCCGACTGGGGCAGCGCCTTAGACCAGTAAACCAAGGGAGCGACGGGTGAAGGGAAGGGGAGAGGGGTTAGGAAGAGTCGGAGGGACCCGGGCCGGACAGCCGGCGGTAACCAGGGGTGGCCTGGAATTTGCAACGGGACTATAGTTTACCTTTAAAATTCCATTTTTATCCCTTCCTGTTTTTTTATGTTTTGTTTCTTAATAAATTAAAATTTTGCATTTATTACAAAGTGTCCTATTTAAATTTCACTTTACAAGGAAAGACGCAGCGAAAAGGGAAATTAAAGTCGTTGCTGTCCCTGCTAATACCATCGCGTAATATTACTACTGTTAACCGGTACTTCTGTTAACCCTCCGATCTCAAAACATCTATTTTTAACGGGAAAGGAAATTCATGATTATCGGTTTCCATGACCATACAGTTGCCACTGGATATGTGTAATTTGGTGCCTTATAAAATATCTTAACAAAATAGAACAAGAACAAAACCAATTAGAGAAATAATTCCTTAAAATACCAATTTTATCCTTTTATCTATTTTAGGCTTTGTTTTTAATCAAATTAAAATTATGATTTTATGATAAAGTGTCCTAGTTAAATTTAAATGTAGAAGGAAAAACGCAGAAAAAAGGTAAATTAAAGGTTCTTGTTGTCCCTGCAAATACCATCACGTAATATCCAGCCACGGTACCTCTGTTAACGCTCCGAGCTCAAAACATCTTTTTTTTTGTAACGGGAAACGCAATCGATGATTGTGGGTCTCCATGGCCATAGACTTGCACCTGGCTACTAGTAATTTGGAACCTTCTGAAATATACTTACAAAATAGGGCAAGAACAAAATCGGCTGGAGAAATAACTCCTTCAAATGCGGATTTTATCCTTTCATGTATTTTATGTTTTGTTTCTTAATTAAATTATGATATTATTATAAAGTGTCTTAATTAAATTTAAATGAAGAAAACCGCGGCATTAAAGGCAAATTAAAAGAGGTTACTGGCCATGCTCATAACACCGGGTAATATCTAGTCCCGCAACCCCGGGTAACCCTTAAAGCCCAAAACATAATTTTTTTTAAGGGGAAGACAACTCATGATCATGGGGGGTTTAGTGGTCATTCAGGTAGTTGTTATTAATTTTGCCGCGCTCCTAATACGAAACGCTCAAAATCGCCATTCCATGGCGTAATCAATTAAACGCGACGACGTACGCGTCGCGGGTCGCGGTTGCGGCGACATCATACAAAAAACACCGCCAGTGGTCCGGTCCGGTGGCATGTCGAATTTTTACGACCTTGGTGTCTATCGAAAGCCCTTCAAAAAGCAAGTCGTATTTCGATCTCGGATTATTCAAATCCTGTTATTTTTGCTAGGTTTAATAGGAATCTTGCGAAACTACCATGGATTTTTACAAAAATCTCAATTTATGCATTTTTAAGCCATCTTATCAATGACATGACATCTTATTCTAAGCCATTTGAAAAAGATAGCTTGGCTGTCGTTTACGTTTTTAAAGTTTTTCAAAAAAAACTTGTAATTTTTACATTTTGCATGAGAAATGCCCAAAACCTATCAAAAAATTCCGGAAATTCGAAAATCGGGGAGGAAATCTGGACTAGCTTTTACCAGAGCTTTCGATAGATACAAGAAAACGTGTTGGATAAATAGAGCTTACCTTAAATTATCGCTGCCTTTTCGAAAATTTTGAGGCCACGCCGGTACTGGAATCGTCTGACCGAACCCGCGGTGTACAAACTTCGATGGTGAAACATGTTCTTGTATTAGACCCCGGAGTCATTACGAAATCGGAACTAGGGTAGGATTTCAGCAGAATATATTAAGATTCCTGTCGTATAACCTAAATACCTGTTTTAAAACAGCAAAAGAACAGCAGCGATGATAATTAAAAAAATGTTAACGTTACGCTGGAAAATAGGGTTCATTTTGAATTACCACTACATTTTTCGAAAATTTTGATGCCCTGCATGCAGGGGCGTAACCAGAAAAAAATTTCGGGGGGGGGGGCCCAAAAAATTTTTCCAAGAAACTCAAAAGATGTACGAGAAAACAGCGCCGCAGGCAAAAATTGTTGAAAAAAGGTTGCATAGCTCTACAAATCGCCGTAAAAACGTAAAAAAATAGCGCCGCAGGCAGCAAAATTTTTGAGAAAATGAAAATCATAAGGGTCCCCCCTTATTTTTGGGTTCTTTGGGTTCCCCGGCCGATTTCGGGGGGCCCAGGGCCCCCCGGGGCCGGTATTAAATAGTGCTTAATTTAAATTGAGGCTACATCTTTCGAAGCACTTACCCTACACTTCAAGAAGTTCGAAAGCGCGCGGAGTACAATAATTTTTAATGAAACACGGTCTCGTATTAGACGCCGGAATCCTTACGAAATGGGACGCACGGTGGTAGAGTTTCGGCAGATATTAATATTGCTGTAGTATAGCCTTCATACCTTACTTAAAATTGTATTTAAAAGCAATGCTTATCAAAAAAACGGCAGTTTAAGTCCAGCATTGGAGGAATAGGGTTTAATTTTAATTAGCACTACATTTTGAAAGGTTGACATAGGTCACGTATCAGAATTGTTTTCCAAAATCCATGGTGCTTACATTTTTTTGATGAAACACGTTCTCATATTAGACCCCCGAATCCTGAGGAAATAGGACGTACGCTGGTGATGTTTCGGTACTTTAGTACTATAGTCTTAATGCCGCACTTAAAAAAATTGCACTTAAAAGGCCGTCCGTGGGTCACTCGAACAGCCCCCATTATGGCTTGGCACAGTTTTTTTCGACCCCGTTTTTTCGACGCCATGTGAAGGAGCATGGTCGAATTAGTAGGACTGCATAGTTTTGAAAGTTTAAAAAGTTTGTTTTTGGGGTTTAAATGGCCGTTAAAGTCGCGTACCCCGAAAAACTATCTCGGTGCTCACTGGGCAGAACTGACTGAAACTTCGGGATAATACCTAATTTGGGACGCTGATCATTTTTGTAATACATTTTGAAGCACGAAAATGGCCAGAACATAGGAATATCGCGTAGTCAACACAGTTTTTCCGGGTTTTCTTCATGATGGAAAGTTTGCTGTAAGCTGAAAGTAACATTAAAAGATGCGCAAAAATTTTCTGCATCGAATGGTGTATTTTTTACGATGCAGCAAGTTTTCCATCATGACGAAAATTTCTATTTACGTCACCTCAGCTAAGAAAATTCAAAAATTGCAAATATAAAAAACGTTCCCCGATTTCTAGAGACGAAATCATACTTAACGCAAAAAAAGAGCAAAAAGAAATTCGGCTTCTGAGAGGGGGCTGGGATTGAACTCGGGTCGTTCGCCTGGGACTTTGCGGCGCCCACTAGTGGCTGTCCCCTGTGCCCCCAGGCGAACCATCGCGGGTTCGGTCCCGGCAAATCGCCAGTTCCGCGTAGGAAGGGAATTTCTTTTTGCTTTTTTTGCTTTTTGGTTTTGGCTAGTTTTTATATGGGGCTCCATTTACATCTGTTGGAAAATAAGCTTTCTTATAGATTTTGTGATGGTTTTTCTTGATTTTAGAAAAGCTAAATTTTCGTCATGATGGAAAACTTGCTGCATCGTAAAAAATACACCATTCGATGCAGAAAATTTTTGCGCATCTTTTAATGTTACTTTCAGCTTACAGCAAACTTTCCATCATGAAGAAAACCCGGAAAAACTGTTTTGACTACGCGATATTTCTATGTTCTGGCCATCTTCGTGCTTCAAAATGTATTACAAAAATGATCAGCGTCCCAAATTAGGTATTATCCCGAAGTTTCAGTCAGTTCTGCCCAGTGAGCACCGAGATAGTTTTTCGGGGTACGCGACTTTAACGGCCATTTAAACCCCCAAAAACAAACTTTTTAAACTTTCAAAACTATGCAGTCCTACTAATTCGACCATGCTCTTTCACATGGCGTCGAAAAAACGGGGTCGAAAAAAACTGTGCCAAGCCTTGTTCGGGTGGCTCGCAAATGGCCTTTTAAAACAACTAAAAAATGTCAACGTTACTTCAAATCTAGCACAAATAATGTTTAACTTAAATGAACGCTAGATATTTCGTAACGCAGGTCACGACAGAGAATTATTTTCGAAAATCCACCGAAACACAAATTTTTTGCTGAAACACGTTCTCGTATTTGGCGCTGGATCTCAAGACCAAATCGTACGTTTAATGGATTTTTCGAATGTATAATCCAGCCTACCGTATTATTTTAGCTGTATATACCAAGAATAATGTATTGTAACCTTATTACCTCACGCTTTGTTAATGCAACCCACCAATTCGGCAAAATAGGGGATGATCCCGGACTGGTCGGCGTACTCCATCCCTCCATCACTTATTCCCAACGGCACATCACTGAAAAACCCCGGCATATTGAATTATCGACGGCGAAAACACATTTAATGAAAATGGAATGAAACCTATTTGACACAAAAATACCTTGATGTTAGGATCGCTTGAAAATGCGTGTTCGATTTAGAAGCGGACTTTGGTTGAAACTTAGAAATTACAATTTTTTGTAAGCGGAGACGTTGCTGGTACTGTGTCTGAAAAAATCAATAAAGAAAATAAGTTTTTTAGTCAGTATTTTAGGGACGGCTGAAATAAGCGGAGGGTCAAACCAAACAAATCAGTACATTTTCTCGAAGCCAGTTGGGCCACCGTTCTAAAAACCAAATTGAATTTTGGATGCAATATCGTACTCCTTTGCATTTTACGGAAATATCCTTCTTTTAGAAAATTTTTAAGGTGCGTAGAATGCCGGAGGAGAGCCGATTAAGAAAGGCTGAATCGTATGATCCATGGAATTTTATGAAAGATACTTTTAGAAAGTTTTCACCTGTGTTGATCCGTTAGTTGAGAGGGTTTTGATATTGTTCTACGGATTTTTTGAATCATAGCTTTTGGAGTTTTTTAAGGATTACTGAAGTAAAGGGAGAATTAAACAAAAAATAAGCATAATTTCTTCATTCCACTGATGTAAATTCTCAGTTGTTTGTGAATGGATTTTTCCGCATCCGCGACACGCAACGCACACGCGGCCGGATCGAAATTTATCATAGATGGCGTCAAAATACAGCAATGGCGAGCAGATTCCGGTGGTAAGAAATCCCTGCCCTCCAAGGCTTATTGAAACATTTTTCTTTTACCAAAACCTTACAGAATGCGGTATACGTGGTATAGCCCTACTGAGATATGCTGCATCAGATGACCCAAGAAATTTTATGAAACATACCCCTTTATGAACAGTTATGTAAAACGGCCCACTAAGATTTCGATCTCATTCCCGGGAATTCCCGGAAGAAATTTTTGGTGCGACAGTGATACATTTGATATGTTATTAAATGGATGGGTATAAGGCATAACTATTCATTTTGGTCTCCATGGATTCGCTACGATTCGTTGCGCCCGCGACACGCAACGCGTGCCCGCGTTAACGTGCACGTTGCGTGTCACGCCCCGGCGCGGGTAAAAACCAGGCCTTGCTTTTTGACATGTCAAATACAGAGGAAACTATTAGACCTGCATCGTGCGTACAATGAATAAACTTAACCAATTGAAACGTTAAAACGAATTTTTTCGAACATATTTTTGTTCCCTGATGATGTATGTACATAAAGATATTTTCGAACTGGCCAAACCGGTTTAGAAGAGGTCCCGGTATGACGCTAAATTTGTTAAAAAACCTTGCGAATTGCTGAGAGCAATCTAGTGAAATAATATGTTTCAAAAAATTACATATGAAAGTTTGGTTGGCTCACCTTTAATAGACACTCGGATGTCTTTGAGGATTTTCCCCCGCATTTCTCGCCATGAAAACACGCAGGGCTTGGCCAAAGTTTTCCCTTCTTTCGATTTTCCGCGACAACACGCTACGCGCGCGGAATTTCAGACCCGCTATGAAAATACGAAAATCAAAGGGAGTCTTGCTCTACTAAAATTAAACTCGCTTAAAAAACTATCTTAAATTAGGATAAAACAATGTTTCGAAATTTTCTTGGTGTACAAGGAATCTCCTGAGTGCAGAGACCTCAAATTCTCCCCGGGGAAATGAAATCAGAAATGCGGTGTCGGAAGCGACAAATCTCGGGGAAAACACACAAAAGAAGCCATATACCTAGAGAATCACCGCGAAGCCCTAGAGGATTTGTTATGAAGGCCCAAAAATATCCGGTTGAGTCATGCGGCGACCGATTAACAATTTGTAGCAGCGGCCAGCTTTGGGGCAAAGTGAAACACACAAATTCCGATGTCGGAAGTCTCAAAAATTTTTCGCGATAACTGTTATATATTACATTATTTTAGGCTGTAATTAAAACCCTTCGTATATTTTTTTGAGGCGCTACCGAATGGCGCATTCAAAAACCCGAGAAAACGGCGGAATTTAAACATTTTCTTTCAACTTTCGGCTGACTTCTGGCTCCGGTAAAGTAGTCTAGCCACCAGAAATCATGTGTTTCATTAGCTTGCTTAGCATCGCGGTCTCGATATAATTTTAGCAGCAAGATTGTAATTTTTCTAGCGAAAAGGGGAAAACCGTTTTCCGTTTTGATGCACGTTGCTACTGGCATTAAGAAATCGTGGCAAAATTGAGTTTGAGAGAAAACTGAAACATTTTAAGCTTCCACTGAAAAGTGAGATTCGGTCATTATTTCTAAAGCAAAGGGTCGCGCAGCTTGTAAATATTAACCCTTTGAAAAATAGTCAATTTCATGTTTTCTCGAAGCAGACTGTTTATCGGGAAAACCGTTAAAAGCCGTCGAAAATTAAGATCTAACCCCATTGAAAGCATGCTTACAATCCTGTCTTCTGGACTATTCTAATTCTGGACATTTCTGGAACATTTAATTCTAGCCCAATGCAATCCTACTGGATTGGATGTGAGGGGCTGGCATGGATAGCTGCCCCGAGAGAGGCATTCCGCGTGCTTCGGTAGCTCAATAGGGAGAGCATCGGACTCGAAAGCCGTAGGATGCGGGTTCGACCCCCGCCCGAGCACGTGTTTTTGCGGATTGGGCCCGGAGCTAGGCCATGGCCATGGGACCCCAGAGCCCGGGCTCAACTATTGCGGGAATATTCCGGGAATGCCTCAGGGCATTCCCCACGCCCAATCAAACCCATAGATTTTCGGCAATTTGAGAGGATGGCAACGAGACGCTACTAGTTACTTACGGACAGTGACGGCAAGTAACATTGGGCCCGAATAATTCAGTTGTGTAATCGGAGAGGCAAATGTAAAAGCTAAGTGAAATAAAATATAATTTGACGATAGAAACACTACCTGGCCCTTCCTTTTACTTTCTTACTATAGTTTGTGACAAAAGGATAGGTGGCTCAACTTTTTTTCGTGATTTTTTGGGCGGATTGGCATGTAGGCATCATGACCCGCAGTTCTTTTTGTAGCCCGAGAAAAGGAGAATTTTTGGTATACTTTTCACGACTCAACAATGAAACAGCAGATTTTTATAACCATTTTAGATTTTCACTAGGCTATCTCATTCCCAGGGCCGTTCGCTACACACCAATACAAACGACCCGTCAAAAGCCCGGCACATCCCAGAAAATTCAAACGAAATAAAAACCGCCTTCGTTTTGATACTTTTTGAACTCAGTTTTTTTTAGTTCTTAGTATCATTAGACTCGCCGTCTCCCATTCTATAAAGTTGGAACAAGCTTTTTTTAAGTTAGGTCTTATCTTTCAAGATATAAGCCTCCAAAGTTTGGGCCCCATACATTTTCTTGACGAATGGAGCGTCGCGTTGCTTAGGCCCTTATTGCCGCTAATTTTGGGCGTGTCCCGTAATGTTCCCGCAATGTTCCCGCAATGCGTTCCCGGAATGATTCCCGCAATAGTTGAGCCCGGGCTCAGAATTCCCAAATATATACAGGGTGTTCCAATAAAAAAAACCGTCCCTCGGCATTAGCCGTTTCCTATTCGATTGGGCCCAAATTTTTACCAGCGATCGAGACCCAAAACTTATCAGAGAAAACAAAACAAAAAATAAAAAGTTAAAGTAAACTTTCGAGTTGTAAAAAGGAAGGTATCCACCAAAATGCAAAAAAATCGTGAGTGTAAATAAAAGCAGAAAATAAAAGATCATCCCCAGACGCCGACTACTAACAACGAGACATTTGTTAGTGTCGTCGATGTTTCAGCTTGGGCTTGAGTTTTGCGATAATCTTTAAGGGGATCAAGTATCAATTGTGTAGACAAATCCTCGTCTCTCTTCCAAATATTCCAAAACATTCTTGTTCTATTTTTATCGCTCTATCTAGTCTATCCATCTGGCTGGGCGTTAATCCGGATTTTGCACTCCGGGGGCAGGGGCTAAAAAATAACTCCATGGCCGAGCAAAGAGTCCCTTTTCTCCGTGCTCAATTAGAGGGTGAGCCCCGGATTTCTTGGAAGATGATGATGAGTAGTGAGACGGCGAGTTCACCATATTTTTGGAAACACATATTAGGAGGCCGCAGAGGTTAGGCTGGAAATAGCTACGGCGAATTGACGGTCTTAAGGAACCGGCAAGGCATAATTTGGTACTGGTCTGTTAGCGGGGGGAGATTGGCGAAAACACCTGTCTTTCCCAGACCCTATGACAAAAGATCACAATGTCTCTCGCATTTTACACTCTTTTTAGGCGTTTTCTTTTCTTTATCTGAATTATAATGCTTTTCTAACTCTCTAGCGAAAGAGCAATCTACCAAAAAGCGTTATAAAAGAGCATAATCTTACTCTTTACCATTTCCGTTGATGAATCGATTGAGCATTCAAACGAATTTCCACATACTCGGTAGACTGGATGAATTTTAAATTTACCACGACTTGAGCGCGCACTACTATTTAAATTGCAAGTCCCAACGGGTCGTGTAGATGAGAAACACATCAGCATTTATCATTAAGACCAGGGTTGAAAAGCCGCTTCGCGACTTTTCAACCCTGGCCCTGTCTAACTTGATGAAATTCTTCACTCTGCATACGTCTCTCGGATTCCTATGGGGGAAACATGAGGAATTCCACTCTTTCACGTTATATATAGGCTTCCGCCACTTCCGGCGTATGCTAATTATTTCGTAACAAAGAAGGCTGCCGGATTTTTCAACAAAGACTCAATTTTAATGTCGAAAATAGCATAATTTGGAAAATCTGATATGCGTGCAGTCATCTCGGGGACGTTACGCACCTAATGACGTATCATACGTAGCCTAACGCCCTTCCCCTCTTGAGATATCCTCCGGACACGGTGACGGAAGTTGCATTCAAATGCATGCACACACACACACACACACACACACACACACACACACACACACACACACACACACACACACACACACACACACACACACACACACACACACACACACACACACA